GTGCGTGTGCGTGTGTGCGTGTGTGCGTGTGTGTGCGTGTGTGTGTGTGTTTGTTTTAAAGATATCTTATATAGTTGATAAAAATTTCTTTTTTAAGTTATACTATTTCCCTTTTCAAGACTTCAAAATAATCAATATTTCTTTAAAATCTTTGGAACTATAATTCTTTTATTTATTTTTTTTTTAGTTAGCATGTTTGTGTTTCTTACTCGATCCCAGACAAGCGCAAATTCCGCGCCCATTTTTCCACCATATGATTCAGTGGTGATATATGTTGGAACAGGCTTAAATTTCGGTAATTGCTTGTAGAATCCTCGAATGCATTCTAAAAGATCGCTCGCGATTTGAGCGTTTGTCGTTGCGAATGCGGATATGTTTTCAGCGTTACTAAAGCCAGTACCAACAGGATTATCGATGAAGAGAACATTGTAATCTTTGATCTATAACATAAATATATATTTAAGGACTATCTACAAACTTATTTTAATAAAAACAAAAATACAAATAAAGGCTCTCTAGATTAAAATCAAAATTAAAATTCGAAGAAGATGGCAATCAGAGCCAAACGCGGTAATTGGAGCGCAAAAAGTTTTATTATGTGAAATTCTCTACAATTATAGATAGGACGCTTCGGCCTCTTTTTAGGCCATCTTCAGCACAAATTAAATTGAATTAACTTATAACATAGGTTAACGGTCGTATGGTCTTAGTCGGTTAGTAACATGATCGGAAAGGTAAAAACATTGTCGCAGATATTAAAAAAACAAAAAATAAAAAATAAATAATAAATGGTCGCAGAAAGAAAAATAATTAATTAATTAATTAAAATAAAGACCGGTAATCTCTCACATCATTGTGGTATTGTAGAAGAAGTAGTCTGTTTGATAGCCGTCTCGATAGTTGTGTAGAATTGCCCGAAATAAAGCACTTGTCCATATATAGTTGTTAATTTGTCAATTATTATGCACTATTTACACAAGAGATATTTACAATGAAAAGTTATATACAAAGATTGTCTCACAATTAGACTCGCGAACTTATACAAGGTTTGAAACTTTTTACGAAGCAAGCAACTTCGACCGCGAAAAAGAGATGTGCGTAGATGAATTCGACGTGATGTACGAAAGCGGTCTGGCGCCGGGTTGCGTGCCGTCGTCGATTTTATTTACGCGGTTTTCTAGAAAATTCTGGATCAAGACTCTGGATATTTTTGCCGATGTGTCACAGTGGATGACTTTCGTTGTTATTATAATTTGTCTCGCGCAACTCTGTTTTGTTGTATGGTTTGGCAAGATAATAATCGCCGAACGATTTATGAAGGTATTGAAGGTGACTACTTTCCCGCAAAAATATGAACGTCGCACGCCTTTCAAATTTCTAACCGAAATCTACGATAGAAATTAGCTCGTTTTCTACCCGCGCTAATTTTGTGGATATTAGAGAGCGTGGCTCGGCTGTGCTTACAGTCGTTTTGAACAGAGTCATTCCGAGGATATATACTATCCAAAAATCTGTGGTCATGTCAATCTAAACGAATATAATTTAATGTTAGACAGATTAAGCGAATGGTGTGAAAGAGTAACAATGAAGCTTAAATTAACAAAAATGCAACTCACGAAAAGAGAATCAACGCTCCGCACGCAAAAGTGATGTCAGATGTAATATATACATTGTAGAAATTAGGAGAACCGGGCTCAGCGATTTTCAAAGTAATAATGATAGATCGTGAGCATAGCAAGGTGACGGGAGAAAACAAAAGTAACCAATAACAATAAATGTACACAATCGTCAACGGTGCGACATTGCTATTATAAATATAACAAACCATTTGGACTAAAAGACGATCTCAAATTATAAAAGTAATCGAGCGAATTAAACATATAAATTAAAGATATAATTAATGTAATAAAATAAAAATGTAACTGAGATGTACATATTAAATCTTTGAAAGTTTGTCTAATACTGTAAAATACATGTCGGGTAAGCATTCCGTGTCGGTTTGCAAGTTCAAACTATTCTTTTGTCGTTTGATATGTAAAATTTCTGAAATCAATCGTTTGTGTAAGTAGGGTTCATTATCGAGTATTGTGATTTTTTCCCAATCAAATCCGTGATTAAAATTTATTCTATGATCAGTTATGACGGAATGGTTGTTGGTGTTTCTTCGAATATGATTTTTATGCTCCGAAATGCGAGTGTGTAACTGTCGTTTAGTGTGTCCCACGTAAGAAGCATCGCAATCTATGCAATTGATCTTATAGACAACATTTTAACGGGCGGATTGAGGGCAAGAGTCCTTGTGCACTTTAATAAATGTGTTCAACTTGTTCATACTCCGATAAGAAAGTTTAACGTTTAAATCTTTGATGATGTTCTTGAATTGTTCTGATATTGAAGGGACAAACGGTATTGTAAAATAGGAGATAGATTCTTCACTAAGTTTTGTGTTATTAGAATTAGGATAGATCTTATTGAACAGAAATTTAAGGCGTTCGTGTAAGACGCGGAAGATGAAATTGAGGGGGTATCCATTATCTAATAGAATCTTAACGACCAACTCGATGATCTCACGGTGGAACATAGGATGTGATAATGAAAAAACTTTGTCAATGACACCGATGATAGTACCACTTTTTGGCTAAGATGGTGATTAGACATAAAATGCAAGTATCTACCAGAAAATGTAGGTTTATGATACCAATTGAAAATCAGGTGATTATCGCTTAAAATAATGGTGATGTCTAGAAAGTTTAGTCTATTTCCCTCTCCTATTTCCATAGTAAATTGTAATCGTTGGTGGAACATGTTAAAATTATTTAGGGTGTGATTAAGAAGGAACTGCCATAGCTATGTCATCGACGTATCTCACGTAAAACGGAGGAGTGAACTTTGATAGAAGAGACGATTAGACGGAAAGGGCAATTTTGTTATTTTAATAGATTTTAAAAAGCTGTGACTTTTTATATTTTATTTTTCTGTGTAATTTTTCATTTTAATTTTTCATGCAAATTATCATCCTCTTCTCATCCTTTTCCGAATATATTAATAATACCGAATCACTCTATACATTTTAATAAATAGTATCTCAATTATTAATAATTTATAAGTGATATACATACGATTAAATATAAATTATGCTTAATTCTGACAGAATATATTTTATGTATATATCGAGCAATAATTAATTACCCAAGTGTAATTCCTTGGATTTAAATCAGTATCAAGAGGTCCTATTTCTTCGAAATTTCCATATGCGGTTGAAGATCCGCCTGGTCCACCTTGTAACCAGATGATTAGCGGTTCGTCGTAATATGATTTAACATCTGCCGTAGTATAATAAAGCCACCAGAACATATTTGCATAGGGACGTACTTGAACAAAGCCCCATTCTTGTTCTCCAGGACCGAATCCTTTCTTTCCTTTTATTATTAATAATTATCAGGATTAGGTAGTAACTAGTTAAATAGTTAAAAGTTAAGTTAGAAAGTTGAAAAGTTAATAACTTTTAACATAACTTAGTTAATTTTAAACGTGTTAACTTTTAACTTAAACTAGTTATTTTTAAATGCATAAAAGTTAACTTATTAACTTTTTTATACAAGTCAAAATAATTCATCAATATTAAAGTCATGTGGACATGGTTGATCATAATGCAAATATTTCATTTGTCGTACGACAAGTTTGTCGGATGTGTTGATTCGCTGTTGGATAGAGAATTAACTTTTAACTTTAAGGAGTTAATAATTTTTCAACTTAACTTTAATTGAGTTAATTTTTGTTTAAGTAACTTTTAATAAACTTAGTTAATTTTTGGGCTATTAGCTTTAAACTTAACTTAGTTAAAAAAAATTAACTTACCCAACCCTGATAATTATTAATAGATAACAAATTGAATATAGCAATTGCGTATATAATCAGTATTAGAAATTACAAAATTGCTCAAAGATAAAAATAATGTTCGTGGTTGTGATGTAGATAACTCGTTTACTTTATATTATTTGAAATTATGTTTTTATTGATGTTTACAAAAAATACTTTAAATGTTCTCCTTCAATTTCTGTTAATAAATTGCTTTGCATTTTATTTTAATACAATTGCGAATTTTAAAATTTCCTGCCTCTATTTGTATTACATTCATTTTCTCTATTTGCTGTTGTAATTCTTATACTTCATTTATCCATGACGCGCGCGCGAATACATAAGTTTTCTTTTTATTATAAAAAAAATTCTGAAAGAGTTAAATTAAATGTGGAAGAATACACACTAGTCAATATTTGGCTCATTTTTTGCCAATAATTTGATTTAAATATTATCTATCTATGGCTAATACCAAAATAGTTTATTCTTGAGAGTATCTTTTTATGAGTAAAATTAATTGCGCGTGATATTTGAACATATTATTAGAAAAATAAGAATAATAGATAAATAGAATAAATTAGAAATTATTACTTCTCTGCATCGAGCTTCGAAATATTTCAGATATGAACAATGATTCGAAAGTCGACGGCGCAAAGACGAGTAGCTGAAATGCCATGTGTTTGCCAAGCAAACCCTTAGATAAAGCCAAATCTTAAAAGAAATCGTAAAGTAAACTCCCGCAAAGCTCCGCGTCATCGTGTAATAGAAACCAGGAGTGCAATGATTGAGCATTTTATCACTCATATTACATCAAATTCGCAAAATTATAACAAATAAAAATTTAAATACGTACGCATAATTATATACAAAGAAACGGCTTAATTATACAATTGCCAATATATTTTTAAAATAAGAAAAGTAAAAGGGAAAAGGAATATTACATACATAATATTTAAAATATCTTATTAAAAAATTATAAAAGGGACAGAAATAAATGTATCAAGCGACGCGATAGCATCGCGACGCAAAGTATATAAAAAAAAACGGTTTTGCCTATGTACAGGGGCCGCGGCGCTATCAAGTATCAAGTTCAAGTAGCTTATCCGGAGTTTTATATCTATAATCATTTTAATAAACTTTCGATTAAAATACCCCAGGAACTAAAGCCGTAATTAAAAATCTAACGGCACTTTTATTATACAATGTGGATGCAAGCTTTCGATTGCGACCAGTTTGAATAAGATTGGTGCAGTCAATCCTGAAGTATGATAATCGTATACCAGATTTTGTGACATTTGTCTTCAGTTTCAGATTTCAGATTCAGACTCACGTACATATGCTCGCACGCACACACGCAAAGCGATTTTGTCCCTCAAGGCGCGTTTGCAGCGCTCATATACTAGAGACTCTCTAATAAGAGTCGCGAAATAACATCTTATAAATTAGGTCGATGACGCCATGTTTTGTCAAATACATATTTCTGCTTACGTCCATGTTACAGACACTATCATAATGGTCGTACACAATCATACTGTATCTATTATATGTATATCAGTTTGACAAAACATGGCGGTACCAATAAAAATCAGGGACGTTATTTCGCGACTCTTATTAAGCCCGTATTAGATTACGCATTAAAAATTGAAGATTGAAGATTAAAGATTGGAATTTGACTAATCAGAACAAAAAGAACTAAAATTTCTTTATTCTGATTGGTCAAATTTTAATCTTCAATCTTCAATCTCAATCTTCAGTACGTAGCCTGATACGGGCTTTAGAGGGTCTCTAATATACGATTATTCGTTTGAGTGTGCAAATACGCCTTGAGAGACGATTTTGTGTATGTGCGTGCATATGTATAAAATAATAATGTAAAAGGTTATAAGAGTATATACAGAGAGAAGCCTAAGAGACGCCACGGCCCGGTTTTAGGTGATTTCTTAGAGACACTATAATCAGAGACTGGCCACAACTCATGTTCGCCAGGTTTTGGCTAAATCCTACGAGAGAGAAAGAAATATATACTATTTCATTCCAACCTAGAGTGTCTCTATTCTAACCTATAATGACGTGATATCACGACCGATGACGGATATTTTACTTCGTGTGCATGTGGTTAAATCAGGCTAAATACATTAAACTATCTATTTATCGGAATATTTATCAGGATTTCTTGAATATTTATCATCGATAAAACCAAAAAAAAAGGAAAGACATAATGCACGATAGTACAAATAAAATACCAGATTTTAATAATAATTCTATTGATAAAATGACAAATCTTGATTTAAACTCTTTATATAACATTGCTGGATATATCTTAAATTCCATCATGAAGACATGTAAAGTATGCAATATTTGCTTAAAAATCAATATATAGAATCAAAGACTTTATTACAATATTCATTTAGCAGATTCGTGCAATTTAAAACTTACACAAAAAATTCTTTATGTTATATCAATGTAAAAACATTTCAAAGATTTTTAAAATTAGAACAAATATTTCGACATTATTCTAAATATTTTAGTAATATGAAATATATTAATTTGAAATTATTTTTATTAGAAAAATGTAAAAAGTTAAATGCAAATCACATATTAACTTGTTACGATTTCTTTTTTAAAATTATGAAAAGATTTATAGTTTTTAGATTAAGAATTTTTAATAAAAAAGATAAAACCAATATAAATAAAATCTGTGATAGTAAATTTATGACAATGCATTTTGCCTTTAAATAAATTGTTAATGAAACAATAGGTATATATAACAATATATAAGTAGAACAGATCATAATGATATCAAAATGACGTTAAAATGACGTCATTTTGACGTTGTTTGATGTCATTTCGACATCATTTTGATATTATTTTCATTGTGATTTTAATATTTTGGTTTATTTTTTCTTGATTTTATTTACTTACTTTATGTTACAATAAAAAGCTTCTTTATAATAATAAATTAATGTCAATGACAATTATTTTAAATAAAAAGGTGTAATGCGGTCACCTCGCTCGACGCTCGGATCGGCTCGTCGGTGTCCGGGTTCGAGAGGAGGGGAGACTCAAGCTTACGAGACACAGTATAGGTAGAAAAGATAGT